TGGTCATTTTGGTTCTATCTACTTGGCTAGCTGGTGGCCATTTTGGTTCTATTTAATTGGCTAGCTGATGGCTATTTTGGTTCTATCTACTTTGGCTAGCTGGTGGCCATTTTGGTTCTATCTACTTTGGCTAGCTGGTGGCCATTTTGGTTCTATCTACTTTGGCTAGCTGGTGGCCATTTTGGCCCTATCTACTTTGGCTAGCTGGTGGCCATTTTGGCCCTATCTACTTTGGCTAGCTGGTGACCATTTTGGTTCTATCTATTTTGGCTAGCTGGTGGCCATTTTGGTTCCATCTACTTTGGCTAGCTGGTGGCCATTTTGGTTATATCTACTTGGCTAGCTGGTGGCCATTTTGCTTCTATCTACTTGGCTAGCTGGTGGCCATTTTAGTTCTATCTACTTGGCTAGCTGGTGGCCATTTTGGTTCTATCTACTTGGCTAGCTGGTGGCCATTTTGGTTCTATCTACTTGGCTAGTTGGTGGTCATTTTGGTTCTATCTACTTGGCTAGCTGGTGGCCATTTTGGTTCTATCTACTTGGCTAGCTGGTGGTCATTTTGGTTCTATCTACTTGGCTAGCTGGTGGCCATTTTGGTTCTATCTACTTGGCTAGCTGGTGGCCATTTTGGTTCTATCTACTTGGCTAGCTGGTGGCCATTATGGTTCTATCTACTTTGGCTAGCTGGTGGCTATTTTGGTTCTATCTACTTGGCTAGCTGGTGGCCATTTTGGTTCTATCTACTTTGGCTAGCTGATGGCCATTTTGGTTCTATCTACTTTGGCTAGCTGGTGGCCATTTTGGTTCTATCTACTTGGCTAGCTGGTGGCCATTTTGGTTCTATCTACTTGGCTAGCTGGTGGTCATTTTGGTTCTATCTACTTGGCTAGCTGGTGGCCATTTTGGTTCTATCTACTTGGCTAGCTGGTGGCCATTTTGGTCCTATCTAATTTGGCTGGCCTGGTTGCCATTTGATTCTATCCAATTTGTCAGCTGGTGGCTCTTTTTGGTTCTATCTATTATGGCTAGCTGGTGGTCATTTTGGTTTCATCAAATTTGGCTAGCTGGAGGCCATTCTCATCTTATTTAATTTAGTTAGCTGGTAGCCATTTTGAGCTACGAATATTTGTTTGTCATTTATGGCTGGGTTGATTTCAATGAAGCATAATAGTCTTCAGGTGACTGGTTACTGATGCACATCATCTTGTTTCAGATATGTACTTTATTCTATGACTCAGTTTTGCTGACTGACTGACTGACTTTTTTGTTTTTGAAACTGTTATACAGAGATGTTGATGACTAATACTTCAATAATATGCCAGGGTGGATTTAAATGTTAGAGTAATATGTTACAATCTTTTTTAACCAGACACGATTAACCTAGGATGAAGCACTGAATGTTAAATAATGAATTTTTCATCACTATAATTGCAAGTTCAGACGGGACATTAAATCATTTCTTGTTTTGGTATCACATGCACCTAACGCACCTAACGCACTCTGCTATAGCAGAAATTTATTAACGATGCTGTGTCTGCATGTTGTACAGCATGATGTCTTGGAAAGTAAGCATCCATGGATGTATCGAAACCAACAACAGGCGAAGTGTTGAGAGCAATGAACGATACTTATTAATTTGTTTTTGCAGTTTCACTTAATTCAAGTACATTTGTGTGTGACTAGCAGTTGTGCACGGAAAGCTTGTTTTATGATTAAGATGACAATTACCAGTGTATTTAATTGGCTGAATTTCTGAATCAATGTAAATGGGTCAATTAGTTATAAAACACGCACTAACTGATAATCTTAATAATCTTAATAATCCCTTTCTCGGTTTGTCAATCTAATTATTCATATAATTACAGAAGAATGAAACCTAATTACATCCACACTGATTGTCTTTATTTAACTAACATCTTTTGAATAATTCTGTGTTAACCACCGTAAGGTTTGTATGTGAACCTTGTGGCAAACAGTGCATTCTGGGATATGTCATAGTAAGTTTCCTTTATTTGATTGATCAACATAATATTTTCTACCATATTTTTGTGTTTTTGGTGACAAAAAAAAAGTTCATTGTTTTCAGTTTTTTTCTGGTTGTCAAGCTACTAATATAGTGAGAATGGTTGTTATAAAAACTAATTTTATGAGCAATACTTCTGCACATGTGTGCAGTCCAAACTTAACTTTGGTTCAGAAGCAATATGCATCATTGTTCTTTTTTTGTACTGTATGTTCAAGAAAAACATTGGTCATTATCCACCTCGTGATATAAAATTATCGCATATGTCTCGGATTGATGCAAAACTTTGTCGATAATCTGCTTCTTACTGACGTCAATCCATAATGAAAAAAGTATTGCAATGCAACAGATTTTCTTGAAGGAATAATTACTTTGAATATAATCTGACTAATATTTATTTTAAACATCAGGATACATTTTTTTTTATAAGTATGTGCAGTAATTTATTTTTCAGAGAAAACGCAAGTGAAGCAATGACAAAAAAAAAAAAAAGGAAGAAGGAGTTTTGATCTCTGTACTGTGAGAGAATTTAATTACAAATTAGAACATGGGCATGCAACTACATGTATGAACCCGACCGGTAATGATTATAGCGCTCTGTTCAGCGTAAATGATGCTCTTTTATTCTTCACTATTCATTGAATTCATCTTCATGTTGTCACCATGGCAACAGGTAACATTGTGTGGAGAGAGAATTTTGCAAGGAATTTGAATAGCCTATTGATCATGCAGATATAAGAAACTGTCATTTTAGTAGAGAATTAATGGTTTTAAAAAAGGACTTGTCGACTTTTTTTTTGTTCAATAGATGAAAAAAAGAATTGTTTTCTTTTAAGAATAGGACAATATGATGCGAGTAAAATTTGCTTTTGGTAACCCTTCATGTCTATATCTGCCTCAAAATAGCATTTTTAATATTCTGCTTTAGGTCTGATGGATGGGTATCTGAACAAACTATACAATGAAATGACTTCTTTTATTGACGTTGAACAAAATTAGTCTGTGAATAAACAAACTTAATAAATTCCAGATACAGTAACGAATAGTGCCATCTTATGATGTTGCTTGTAACAGTTGAGTGCCCGTTGTAAATTTCTTTACCTGTTTAAACACACGTTATTATGTTTGATTGTTCTCATACATGTTTGTTTGTCTGCAGCTGTATACATGATGTGAAACAAATCCCCGTGTTTGGATGCACCCTAATTATTGATTTCTTTCTCTGATTTTGTTCTCGTTTGAATTTAATTGATTCTCAATCCTATCATGCCTAGAAGTGAAAAAAACAGGGCTATACTTATCATTCCAAATCTGCTGATGTTTGTATCACAGTTAAACAAAAAAAATTAACCAAATTGTATATATGCAGCCTTCATTATATCTTCACTGTAACTTTCTTTGTGCATAATAAGATTAAAGCAATGTAACTTTAATACTATACCGTAATCACGCTATGATGTGTGAAAATCAAATAATTGAAAGAAATTACGTAATAATTTAATTGGTTGTCACAAGAATACAATGTACCACACAATACTATATACTGTTTTCACTGCTAAAAATTTGCACAAATCCAGGTTTTCATGGCGTTTATTTATTTTATGATAAAATTTCGTAAAAGTCACTGACACTGACTGAAATTCTCACTGCTACAAAATTGTGTGTTTCCCGCTGACTTGTGAAAATTACGGCGATTTTATATTTATACAGTACCGGTTTACTTGAAGGCAGTATGACAATTCTATCCACTTATGCTGAATAGAAGTTGTTTGATCTCACACTGTCGAATCTTATTATTATACATCTTTGCTCTCTTTATAGTAATATTTTAATAAGAGATAACAGCCAAAAATTCCAATGAAAAACGTTCTGTTATGTGTGAACATTTGCATTCAGAGATGGATGTCTATTTCTATCACCCACAATTTTCAAATGTGACATCAATAACCTGGAATTTGTTTGATACAGATTTTTTACCAAATGGTAAATTCTAATAATTTCATCGCTAGATGAATAATAATGTCTCATGTTTATGTACATTATTTACGGAATTAATAGCGTATGTGCTTACATAAGCAAGTCCTATTTTACTGATCAAGCGTACAACAAATGCATGTTTATGCTCTTCTGTCGGTGATGTGCTTTTAATATAGCAAATATGGTATTAAATTAATATGGTTTAAAACTATATGTAATGTCATTGCCATTAACGTGATTCTCATCGAAGCTTAAAAAAGAAAAGAAAAGATTTTGATTTTGCTGATTGATATTTAATAAAATATTTAAAAAAAACATTTGAGAAACTTGATTCAAAGCATTTCATTAATATGACATAAAAAGAATTATTTGCATGGAAAATGTTTGACAAAGATGAGAAAACCTTGAGTGCTGCCATGAAGTACCTTGTAATAATATGTAATATGACTCACCGGGTGGTTGAGTACATTTATTATTAGAAATCAAAACCAGGACATGAATAAAATTCAACCACAATATAGATGAGGAGCTTAGTACTCTGCATCTCCATCCACGAATGTTCATTATTTCTGCATCAGCTTACTCCTTGTGCTAATCAGCCAATCAGGAGACAGATTTCTTTTTTGTGTTTTGCTTTCAATGAAACCTTCACCATTTTTTGCATAAAGAACGTGTTTGATCAAGCTTTGTCATTCAAACAGTCTAAAAAAATCTATAATTTGCAGATTTATGTATTTGTGTATCCATATATAAAAAAGAAATGCTGCTATGTCTCCATGGCAACTGGATTGATTAGGCATTGCCATAGTGATTGGTTAGGTGTCAAGGCTCTATTGCAGAAGACTTCCCCAGCCACTTTCTGGAGTCTTCAGTTCGGATTGAGACGTACAGAGTCTGCTGTAGCAGTTTCTATATCCTATTTGTCAGATGCATTATTTAAACTGTATCGGAATGTTTTCGGATTGTAACCTCTACCCAACCGTGTCTTCTCTCTCCGCAGTGAACAACATACTCAATATCAAAGTGAGTAACATTACCAACAGCACCGATACCCGATCGATCAACGCCAGAGTGTTTATCGGCAACCTCAACACTGGGATTGTCTCCCGAGAGGAGCTGGAACATATTTTCAGTAGATATGGCAAGATTTATGGACTCTCTGTGCACAAGGGTTTTGCATTCGTACAGTTCGCCAATGAGCAGCAGGCACGCAATGCCGTTGCTAATGAATATGGGAGAATAATTGCAGGACAGCCATTAGGTAAGTTGCATATTAACAGGCAACACTGTAGTTTTTGTTTATTTCACAATTTACATATAAACGCGAAAACATCTGTTTTAAAAACAAAAATTGTGGTTTATACACAAATAGCATAAATTTTTTGTTTATTGAAGTTCGTTGGGGAATAGTTTTTTTAGTGAATTACATTGCCGTATACATGTGAGTACACTTGGTCTGTTTGAATTCCCATGGCGATCCTAGATGCATTGAGAATGAAATTGCATGTTTAATGGCATTTCTAACAAGCACAGCCAGAATGTCATATGTATTCCCCATCAGTCTTTGCTTTTCCCCTCTCGTAATCCGGTAGGTAGCATCTACCCGGAGGCATCAATCTCAGATTCTGACTGTAGTAAATGTAACTACATAATTAACCTGTCTGTGGTATCAGTCTGTGAGACGTCGTTTTTTTTACCTTCTTTTATCGTCTTCAACAAAATTAATTTAACAAAAAAACATTCTTATTAAAATCGGCTCGTTATTTTGTTTTCGCAAAGAATTTTAAAGCTGATGCTTTTTAATGATTAATAAAGCATTGATTTGGGATTATATTCATGAGCAGATGTTTGTTTAGTGAGCTTATGGAAAACAATCCATTTCCTTCTAAAACTAGTGAACAAATTTATAATATTTAATGAAACTACAGTCTGTTTTACCTTCTTGTACGAAATGAAATAGTGATGCAGTTGGTATGGTAAAATAGAACCACAACTTATTTTATGTTAATACATGATAATGGATTGGCTGGACCAAGAACCTGGTGATTTAAGATAAAATAATGTTATGAAATGATGACAATGAGAACTTATTATTGATTCTTCAGTGTATTGTGTTATCTCACCGTGATATGATTCTTTGTCCTTCCCAGAATATATGCTCAGTCATGGAATCTAAGTCTTGCTTTGATGTTCAGTTCCTCATTGCATTTATTGATTGCCATGGCAACCTCATCATTGTCTGCAGTAGTCCTTTGAGCAGTACATGATGCGAGTCTGTTTTCTAGTAGATGGAATGATAATAAAGTGAATTGACCATCTGAAATCAATGAGGCATATCGACTTCATCTGTCGGCATTGGTCTGTTAACAATGCATAGTAATAGACTTTTCATGTGTCACCTGCAGATGTCTTCACTTGAGCAACTAGCTCAGCTCAGGTTGTTTATTTCTTTGACCTGAAAATTCTAGTTTTGTTACTCTGCTTGAATCAGTTGTAGCCAGTAGGTGGTGCAAAGTAATCCTCCTCCTGTTCAGCAGTTGATGCAGGGGGTACTGTGCGAGTATTGCTGACACAGTAACGTTCAGCTGACACAGCAACGTTTTAAATTCTGACCTTCATTATAAGCACTGCCAACATCAATTCATAAATAATGTTTTCATGCAGTTTTTGCATTTTGGTACAGTGTTAGAATCGTTGTGGTAGTGAAATATGCTTTTGTAATAATTCAACACGATGACTTCAGGTATATTCTGCCTGGCGTACATGTGGGAGACAAGATTTGTAGTTGCTGTACAACTATAAGCATTGATTTCCTGATTTGTTTTAGGGGTCGGTCATTTCAAATCATGAGGTGGGGGTGGAAGATTTGTTAAAAAAAAATAAGCTAAACACAGATTAAAATATTTATACAATACAATCTTAGCGATGAAATAAGTTCATGTACATACCAGATACTTTCTTGATGAATAAACGTCACATAAGAGGACACAAATATAATAAAATATCATCTGATTTTCTATAAAAAAACATTACCAAACATTACATTAGCAATTACATTACCATTATCATTGTGTTGAATGCAAACCAAACTAAATTTTAATCGTTGTGTTGAATGCAAAATGGCGACATTTTCTGCGTTTTGTTTGTTCAATTATTAAGGTTGTTGTGAAGTTTACTCATTAAGAAAGTATTTGGTATTTACAACCAATTGTATGTATTTGGTTTGTATCACCCCCCCCAAAAAAAAAGGATTTTGAAAACATGTAAATATCAACTAGGCACCTGGTTAAGCACTTGAAAACAACACCTACACAGCTGGCTATGTACATGTAAACAGCCCCTAGACAGCTGGCTATGTACATGTAAACAGCACCTACACAGTTGGCTATGTACATGTAAACAGCCCCTAGACAGCTGGCTATGTACATGTAAACAGCACCTACACAGCTGGCTATGCACATGTAAACAACCCCTAGACAGCTGGCTATGCACATGTAAACAGCACCTACACAGCTGGATATGCACATGTAAACAACACCTAGACAGCTAGATATGTACATGTAAACAGTACCTAGACAGCTGGTTATGCACATGTAAACAGCCCCTA